TCTCAGTTTCGCTGTCCCCTTCCTTCCATTCACTAACCTCATTCTCAGGTTCGCTATCCCCTTCCTTCCATTCACTAACCTCATTCTCAGTTTCGCTGTCCCCTTCCTTCCATTCACTAACCTCATTCTCAGGTTTCCTATCCCCTTCCTTCCATTCACTAACCTCATTCTCAGGTATTCTATCCCCTGCCTTCCATTCACTTACTTCATCCTCAGGTTTGCTATCCCCTTCCTTCCATTCACTTACTTCATTCTCAGGTTTCCTATCCACTTCCTTCCATTCACTAACCTCATTCTCAGGTTCGCTATCCCATTCCTTCCATTAACTAACCTCATTCTCAGGTTTGCTATTCCCTTCCTTCCATTCACTTACTTCATTCTCAGGTTTCCTATCCACTTCCTTCCATTCACTAACCTCATTCTCAGGTTCGCTATCCCTTTCCTTCCATTCACTAACCTCATTCTCAGGTTCGCTATCCCCTTCCTTCCATTCACTAACCTCATTCTCAGGTTTGCTATCCCCTTCCTTCTATTAACTATTCCATTTCTGTCACCTCTCCTCCTATGTCAAAGTTCCCATTACACCTAGCTGGTCTGAGTTATACTACAGCCTGAACAGAGCATGCAGACAAAAGGCCCTTGATTCTTATAGGAGTCCAAGGGCAAGTAACCTCAAATTTGGCACGGAGTAGTAGAATCCCTGCAGTGGAGAGATGTGGACTTACGAGCAGCAAAGAGCAGCTGGTCATTACAGATCTGAACTGCTTATTCACTGTTAGTATTATTTAATCCAGTGGGAATCCATTTTCAGACCAAATGAAACCATTCTGCCATCACATTGACTTTGGTTCAAGATTGTATGTACTCTTATTTTCAAACACTAGAGGGTAGAATTTTACTGCAAATACGTTTTACTGTAGTTTTTTTTTTTTTAATTAGAAAAATACAGAACATGTGACTGAACCTGGAAAATCGGTTACTATCGTCGTTATTCAGTGTGGCATGGTGGTGCAGTGGTCAGGGCTGTCATCTGAGTCTGGGGTTCAAGTCTCTGCTAGGGTTCCACGCGTGTGGAGTCTGCATGATCTCCCAGGGTGGGTTTCCTCCAGGTATTCTGGCCACAAACATGCTGAGGTTAATTGCAGTTAGCAAATTACATACGTGAGCGTGCCCTGCAATGGGTTGGCACCCGATCTTGGGTTGTCCCCTGCCTTGTGCCCATAGTCCCCACCCCATCCGCAAACTTAAGTAGGATAAGCAACTACAGGAAAATGATGGTTGGATCACACTGTTCTTATTTACTGACTACTTTTGGTCTAAGTTTTACAGTGCATCCTTTCCTAAAGTAACATAATGAATACGCAAGAAGAAGAAAGAAAATATTAAGGAAATTGTCTAGGATGGTAAAATGAGCCGAGCCGAACACCCAGAACTGCAGCTTTCGAGAACGGCATAAGGAAAAAGCAGCAAAGATGCCGTAATGTTCTTGATTGATCATTTGAATACAGACAGTGTTATCAAATTATGATCATTGGGGGAAGTCAGGGAGGGAACGAGAGTTCTGTGTGGTATCACTAGGGTGATAAGGGAGTAGCTGAATTAGCAGTGACCATAGAGTTACCATTTGCTCTTAAGTCCCCATCCTGTCCTGCCCTCTCCCTCTCCCAGGATCCTCACACCCTAGGAGGTCACCCCTTATATGCAAATTCACACACCACACCTACACAGTACCCTGTCGCAGAGGGTCTTGAAGGGCATAAAGGGGGGGGGGGGGTAGAAAACTGTCCTTAATTTGTTTTTGAGTTGCCTTTCAGTACCCGGTGCATCTCCACACTGCATTACATTATATTTTTTGGTGTTCAATAAACCGTCGTATTGCTGAAACGAGCTTCTGCAAGTGGATTCCTTACAACAGCATAGCTGACATATTTGCAGGGGAGATATGCAGCTGCTGTCGCCGATGCAGGATTTACATGCTGACGGAGTTCATCTCGTTAAATAAGGTCGCACCCACCGCTGGTGTTAACAAACGCTCCCGGCGATCAAGCTCTCGTCGATACCAACGTGCGTTTTGGTCGCAGCGTAAGATGCACGGAAAGACAGATCAGGATCGGCAGGGGAAAGTCGCGGTGAATTCGAGGACCCGTCCGGTTACGGGGAAGGCAGCCGCCCGCCCGCCCGCCCGCCCTCAGACACGGGGGTCAGCTGCGCTTTCAATATCGATTTGCAGCCTGTGGTCAGCAGCATTCCTCTATTACAAACTAAGTGTAGCATCCAAGTCAGCAGGCATGAAGGCGCAGCGGGCAGCCAAGCAGCAGGGCGGCCCACCTCCGCAGCACTGCGACAGAATGCAATGCCCATCCATGGCCACACTGATCTGGGCCAGTTTCGCATGTTGAATTACCTGTCAGTGGTACAGGGCTGGCTGGATTATCCACAAAACAAAGGACTTTCCCATTTGATCATCACAGCCTTTTGTCAGAACTCTCCCATTGCCTCTTGGTAGGCCAATGGTAAGGATGTAGGTTCAATATCAACATTGGTATGAACCAAATCAACCCCAAATCCCTTGCCCACCTAAACAGGCACAGCACCTCCACCATATTAGTAGGGACATGTCCCTACCATCCAAGCCCAAATCTACACCCTTGCCTAGTGGATGTACAAGATTCTGGGCCTTTTCCCCCACTATTCCAAGACTGTAATGCAGAGAGCCATGTCAGATAATCATAATCAGTATTAATATAGCTCAGCTCCCAGCAACACCTTTGACATTGATAAATAAAAACTTCCAGTACAAACAGAATTAATTCAAACAAGCCAGCTTTGCGATAAGAACTTAATAGTGTTTACTATCAGTTCATTAAGTCAACACGATGGTTTCCGGAGCTGGCTGGGATGCGCTCAAAAATGGAGTGTCTGTAAGGCGGGCGGGGCCCAAATCGGTGGCCGTTAAGGGCGCCACATTCTCGGCAGCGACACAATGCTGCGAGGATGAGATAGGCTTGTTTTTGAGGGGCTCAAATGAAATGAAATTGTTCTGATCCATCGTGGAGATTGAATCTGCTGCTCATGCCCAAGACCACCACGAGCCCTTTGAACCGTATGACAGGCTCATGCAATTGTTTTTCATTCAGTCATGGCTCCCGTATAATCTGAGGACCCTGTAATGCAGGAAAAAACAAGCAGGAAGTAAAGTATGGAAAAGCGACTCATTTCAGTGATTTTCATGTTGGTAGAATAAGCTGATCTGCACCGGCAGAATCACGCATCAGCCTTCCGATTTCTTTGGCTTATTAACATGGCCCTTCGAGCTGTCTGGGCTCCCCCAAGCTGGATCCACACCAGCCCGCCACATTTGCAAAATGAAATTAGATTGCAATGCACCGCGTTAGTTCGCAGGATATTACAAATTTAAATTGTGCCAGGAATTGCGATTGTATGTGATAATCTATCCATTATGTTTTGGGATGACGTCTCGCAATAAACCCTGGCTGTATTTTCCACGCTGGCTGAATGCAATTCTGACTCCGCATACGTAGCATAGTTAACGAGTTATTTATTTCACCATTTTGAATGTTTTGTGGCCGTTGTATCATCTCTTGCAGAAGGATACAAGACATCTCTGTGGTAAACAGCAATTTACAGAAGTAACGAAACACAACTGGGTTTTTGTGGAGGGAAAAAAAAACAGGATTTTCCAGCCAGCAAAGACATTGATCGTTATATTCCCTGCCATGCATCTTCGTAGGAGCTGCAGGCCTGCCAACTCTCACGCATCTGCCGTGACACTCACGTTTCACACTCTCATGCAAGAAATCTTACGCCAAATTTATGTCATTCCATTATGAACCTGAAATTAGCTACATCAAAAGCGTTGTGGTACTTTGAAAACCCTATAGAATATTTACAAGGTAATAAAACTGTTACATGCATGTAAATGCGTGTGCAGGCTTATCGCGAATTGAAAACCTCACGCCAGCCAGCTGACCTCGAGATGCCCCGTTTTCTTTCTCTTCCATGCCATGTAGGCTGACATCGCCCTGCTCTCACCCAGATCTCTAGGAATGGATGCTGGACTTTGAACAGACATCAGATACGTGGGCATTTCTGAGCCATTCAGATCTGGGGCTGGTAAACAGGCCACATCCACCCCGAAGGCCAAATAACACACACTCTACTTAATAATTATAATATAATTACACATCGCATTATACTGAGAGCACAAGGATCACAGTTTACGCGCGTGATCTTCATTCACTCCCAAAGCGTTTTCCGTATATAAAATCAAACATTAACACAAACTGCAAAAACAATTTTACAGAGAAAGTTTCACATCACACTTATTTTTTGCTTTGTTAGTTATTCAGTATATCCAGCACACTTCGGTGAGGTTAAACGGACTCGTTAACGTGAGGAAATGACGGCACTTATTCAGAAATTCCGGCGCATTACAGAAAGTCATTTTCAGAAGAAAACATGATAACGCACAACAAGGGTAGTTATATCAGCTACAAACGCATCTCAACAAGCCACACAGCCCATTCTTAGCCATTTACCGCCCCCCTACCCATAATCCTACTGCAAAGAACAGCTGGTTTGGTATTGGTGTAGCTGGTGGACCAACATAGCTGTGCAGCACCAAAAAAACATACGCTGGTGTAACCAGCATGCATTATGCTGGTCTATGCCGCTTTTTCAGCAGGGAAAACACACTATAATCAATTATGATCTCGTTAATTTTCATTAAAGTCGCCCTCCCCTTAGTAAATGGTTACCTTTCCCTGTTCATAAATCTCTAGTGGCTTGAGGAACTTTTCGAGCCCAAATGCAAATACCCCATTCTCTACAACTGTGTGAATGTCGCGGTCTAATCGCCCACCAAGCAGTACATGATCGTAACGTTATTATATAGATGGATCATGTATAGGCCTACATCGTTTAATAAAGTCATCTGACAAACCATTAAACGTCTCTCCCTTATCTTCTGTATTATTTTGCTCCGAGTCGCGATCCCTGTGCCCAGGTCAGTAACCCTATAATCCTCCACAGTGGATGGGCTGCAGCACCGGGCACAGACATCGGTACACATTCCGCTCCCCTCGGTCTTCCTAACGTATTTCCAGAACCGAAGCTGGAGCTCCGCATCAGTCCTCAGCTCACCACTGGCTTTACAGGCCTGCGGTAATTATCTTGTAATTATAAGCACACCTGAAGGCGCTTAGCGAAACGCCGGCCGGCTGGCTGGCTTTAGGACGCCGTAAGGCGCCGCATTAATACAGCGGATCCAACTGGCCAGTCATTCTCTATGCCGCTCTGCATAATATTTACATCGCCTTACCACCGCCGGACACATATATTTTTTTTAATCTTATCAGACAAATAAGACACGTTAGTTATGTAACAGTGGAATTGTGAACAGTGAAATTAGTTAATTCTCCACTTAAATTAACCAATCAATAAGTATAACCATTTAATTTTACCATTCGATAATCAAACTATTAAGTTAAACCACTCAAAAAATCAGCCACTTCCAGGGAAATCTGCATAAAACGGGGCAGGGGGGGGGGGGGGGTGTTATAGACTTTTAATTTAAGGTGTATCATTACTATAATGACCAAATGTATCTCCCAGTACGAACATGCATTGTAGTTTATTTACCAGTAGGGGGCAGAATGGAAATTGAGCTGGCCAATAAGGTTGCCATACTTCGTGCACTACAGGAAGTTTGGTTAGCGGACTGACAGCCATGACCTTCAGAATGACGTCTAGGTTCAACACACGCCAGACAGCTGTGCTCCTCTGCGGCCGGACATCTTCACTTAGCTTGTAATCATGGGAACTGTAGATTCCCTTTAGTTTTGCCAGGGTTAGGTGCCAGTGACGTAAATGTGGTGGACACAGCGAAAGTGTGTGCTGTCACTGAAGCCCCAGGAGAGGTGCTTTAGCTATACAGATGAGCCTTAAGCATCTCTGACGTGAAAACCTCCACCAAAAGCCTCATGAGATCCCGTTTCCTTGTAACTGCAGTCGAATTCAGCATCTCGGTTCAATTTAAAAACCCAGAACACAGTTATATAGGAAAGTCCCATGTTAACAGTTGCTATGGCAATGCACATCCCATATAGTCTACTGTACAACTTAAAAAAAAAAACAGATTGTATGATCCTAGAAAACGAATATTTTCCCCAAAATACCATGAAGATAAATCACTTTCTTTAATCGCACCTTTAAGTACAGTGTATAGAGTCTCTAGAGACCAATTAGCTAGAATCACTGATCTCCTTGAGGTCTTGTCTAGAAAAAAAAAAGTGATTTTTGAGTCTAATCAGGCATGCACACTCATTTTCTTGCGCTTCCCCAAAATAAATTAGTGATCCCTGTCGTGGCTTCCGTGCGAAACCAGACACAGCTCACATCTGATTGTAGCTTGCCTGAAATTCCCTGAAGACATGCATGACAGTGAATCAGCAGTCACATATACAAAACAATCCCCCCCAAACCGCGCCTGCAGCGAGCGTCTGCTGAAGACGGCGAACCCACACGCTTCTGGGTGGGGCTTAATCAAATGAAATATGACCTCCCTGGAAAGCGACGAAGGCTGCCTGAACCTTCAGGTGACTCGTTCAGACTTGAAGCAGAGAGGGTGAGGGAAAGATCTCTTTGCCCACGTAAGAATCAGCCACAAGTTTGCTCTACAGATGTCTGCTTTCTGCACCTAAAGCTGTCATCCTTACCTCTGGGAGCAGGCTGCCACCTGCAGGTAAGTGTGAACGACATGGCAGATTTTTCCACTGCGACACCGACTTTCTGTTTACTGATACCGTGCATCTGGCTTTCTCCTCACTGAGCTGCATGGCCCGTTTTGTCCTTCCTGGATTTTAAAATCCCTTTTGTGTTTATTTAAAAAGTCTAAGGAAAAATCAGGCAGCAAAACACGCCCAACTGGCAGCAAAATTGGGTTGTTCTCTGGACTGAACGCTTAAGCACTATCTGTGCATTAGACACTTCCGTAACGCCCAAGAAGTAACTTGATTAATTTATTGATTTCCCCCGATTGCTTGAATGCGTCACGCCTTTTAATTAGGATGATCTTAAAAATAAAACACGCTTGAGTAATCACGTGCTGGATCTACGCAACCCAACACACAGGTAATTACTGGCTGATAGATAAGAGGCACACAAAATTTCTGTTAATGCTGTGCTCTTCCACCATTAAATACCATTAAAGTAACTGTAAAAATCAGTGTGTACAATCACGACTCTGACGCTTAATGCTGGCTTTGTCTATCTTGCCCTGTTGCTAGGTCCAGGTCTACCTAGGCGGGGTCCTATATCCATAAATAAATTTCCTTGACCGGGAGGGGGGGTCACCTTCGGTAGATAACGGTGGGCCCCCTTTGACCGACAGAACCTCGGGCATCTTGTCTGTGCCTTGATCCAGGCCTGCCTGTTGCCGGCTAGTCGGCTAAATAGAACAACAGCAGCAGGAAGTTTATTGAACCTGGAGCACTGCAGCGCCACCCTCAGGCTGGGAGTGTGTGACACTCTGATGACCTCAGAGCAGAGTCATTTGCTGCAGATTGGGCCGTTGGCCTTTCAGACACATAAATTGTGTTTGATCTTTTTGAGTGTGGCTTTTCTTTCCAAATGGTCTGGGGTTGTACACTATGGTCTGTGCACCATGTGAGCACGTAATTAAAGCAACGCCACTGAGCTATTAGCTAAATGAGGTTACGAGCATAATTTGGCGCAGTGAATCATTTCTGAATTCTCCGGAATTGTACAAAGAGACAAATGAAGACTCTCAACAGTGTCTTTAATCAATTTAGGTGGATATAGCAAAGTTATATTAATTTAAATACTCCTTTGTTCTATTTTGCTTATAAAGCACCTCAAATATATAAGACAGAATGAAGGTGACATTTCCTTTTATTCACTACTGCATGTAGCACTGTTCCCATTTGTGAGGATGAACCTTAACTCATTACCGTTAACAAATGTGACATATAAATTACTTAATCATCTCTGCATTGTTCTGGATCAATCTCGGCCCCACCTCCTACGCCGTAAATTATATTTTGTTATTAATTACTCATGACAGTAAGATTTTAATTAAATTTAAGTCACATAATATTGATTTCAGGGCGACATTTATGATGCAGTATGAGAAGATACTAATTGAAGGTGTTTCCTCAGCTTTCCATTTATACCTCCCTGTTAAGGTTTGACCGTGTGGGTGGCTTTCGAGAGCTGAGGAGTGGTAATATTTCTCTGTAATGATCGTATCGGAAGTTTCCTGCTGGGCGTCTGTGAGCCTTTGTTTTTCTTAACTAAAAAAATCTGAATTCATCTCCTCAGAGATCAGCCTTTGAGATGTGATAATTGTGAAGCAGTGACATGGGAGATGAAGGTTTTTGATGTTCTCTCCGACATTGAAGCCACCTCCATATATCTACGCGGTCTGAAGAGCCGTCAAGCAAAGAGGGATTCAGGCTTCCGGGTTCCAGTGCAAAGTCCACAGAATTTCACAGGCAGATCAGTCAGAAACCCAGGAGATCTCCTGCCTACTCTTGAGGAAGCGGTGACCTTTTCGGAGCTCAGCAACGGCCCCTTTTCGCTTGATCCGCAGCTCCAAATGTCAGAGCCCACGAGTTAACATTTCACAGAGGAGCAGGCAGAGAGCATCTTCTGACGGCGCGGCCTCAGAGACAGCCTGGCTGGAATGGGCCTCCGTCCTTAAAGTTAACACTTATTAGTGCTCGCTCCTTATACAACAACAAGGCTGAGAAACACGGGGTCAAGATGCAAGCATGTCTGCGCCGAGGAGGATTCTCCCTGCATTAGGGGCACATGACTCGACCCAAACTCTTAAACGGCCGAAAGGAAAGCGGGCAGCTCGCCCCCGAGACCACAACCACAAGTCAGCAATGCCGAGCCAGAATATGTCATCTGTCTCACGAAATATTAACAGCCCATTCTCAGCAGACAGGGGGCGCTGCACTGTGGCTGGCAGACAACCATTCGCACTCGAACCCGAGTCTCACCATACGGCTGTGTCCAAAACCAGTGCAGGCTTCACGGTCCCAGAGATTAAGGATATAAATTCCTGATATCAGTTGAGAATAATCAATGTGGATCTGCAAAAATATAATTATTATGTTTGTGTATAATAAAAATGACAATTCCACAGCTTCACCTCCCTTATCTAAGGAAATTTCATGTACAAATCTGCAGGAAATTGGAATCTTAGGAAGATAAAGTTGAATTATGCATCACAGAATATTTAAAAATTCTCAGTGGAATAAAAATCCTGGCAGAGTTTTAACAGACATTCAGGAACATTCCAGAACGTGACTGAATGGACTTTTTTTTTTTTAAAGATAACCATAAAAATATCACACATACCCTGTAACAGGAATCGAAAGCTCACTACAATTTGTTAGATTCTGGAAATTTCCCAACATGTACATTCTACTCGAGTGAGAATTAGGACAAAAACTAAATCCGCAAGACCTTCCTTGATCGATTGCATGCGATAGTGGATCATTAACAGAAATTAACTATTTGCATTTTAATAACATTATCAGCAGCAGTTTAAATAGAATCATTAGTCTTGATTAGTTTGGTATCAGTGTGACGTGACAGAGCTCAGTGGCGTGCGGGAACTGTAATTAACCAGCAAGGAAGGCAGCTTAATGACAATACACAGCCGGGGTAGCGACCCTGTGCCCTCACAAGCCACACCCCCACTCACAAGCCACACCCCCACTCACAAGCCACACCCCTCATTAAACATACCTGGTGCAGACTCCTCCTCCAGCAAAGATACTAGTCCCACTTCTGCACATGGAAAACCCTTCTGTTTACATCCGTTTCATAATATGAAAAATGTTGAGGGCTTGGGGTGTATTTTGGGATGTGACATGATGAAATTGTTGCTTTTTTACGAAATAATTAAGATCGGACTTGGGTAAGAAGAGATCCATCCATCCATTCATTTTCTGTAACTACTTACCCAATTCAGGGTCCACAGTGTACCCCAGAAGGCCTGGAACAACCCAGGATGGGGAGGAAGAAGAAATATGCTAAATAAAATTAAATTAGTGATCTATTGATAGTCATCTCTGACTATTGAAGAACTGAGGGTTG